AATGTACATCAGTTAGATTTTTTTTTTTTTTTTTTCAAGCATTAGGCCATTAGCATTGTAATGTTAGGTGGCTAAGAAAATCACCAAGATCATTTTTCTCGTTAAAAATAAAAAATAAACCTTAATTGTTGAACTTCCAACACAAATCCCACACCGAGATTTCGAAAACACAACTTACAAGTAATTAATGTCAACAGGTAGCTACCTTTCATTAATGAAGTTCTTAATTGCTAGCCCGTCTGCTAATAGTAATCAAAAGCTTCAAAGCCTTGCAAGTCTCTAAAGCCTTAATATAATAATGAATGAATGTGCTGAATACTTAATAGTCAATTGGGAATACCCTTATGCTAGGGGTAAGCAAAAGCTTGAACGCCTTTGATTGTCATCTTTCTCTATGTTGCAAATTTGAAATTACACTAAGCCACTGTTTAGGTGTAACTAGTAAAACTCAAGAGGCAAACTGCAAACTTAAAAGTTACTTGATGAATCACACATTCATCGCAACCAACAAATTCAACTCTAGGGTTATTTCTCTAAAAATTTTAGTTAATTTCCACCTAACCATCCCTTGGTCAGAGAACATCACTTTTCCTCCAACCCAACTAAAAAGGTTGGAAAAGCCAACCGGCCTATGAAAATTCTGTCCACCTTCACATCACACGAACAAGGCAGGCCACAAGATAGGCTACCATTACTGTTACCAAGAATCCAAAATTTAATCTTAATTTTGTGCAACATTTTAACCCAAAGTCTTTTAACCATTTAGAAACAGCAAGCACAACATCCAATCATAGGGTTGATATGAACAAATACATTACTTAACAAGGCTTCTCGCAGCACACAATCACATTCAAAGTATGATGTTACAAGCACAATGAGTAAAAATTCTTGGATAGAGTTTGCTTCCGCAGAGTCACTAGCATTACACTTCAAATATGGAGTAGCAGGCCAAGACACCCAACAGCCTCATCAGGTCATCACCAGATTACTCAGTAATGTAATTGTAAGGATCCCATCGCCATCAAATTACCTATACAAGAAGAGGAACAAAACATACAATAAAACTAAGAGAAATAACTATCACCATTATGAGATTAAGCTAGGAATACGTGTACATCAGGGCACCTACTCAGATATAAGTATGTCCAAAGGGAATGCTGGATCTTAATTTTATCTTAAAACACAAACAGTATTACAGTTACTAGATATACATGAAGGCATACCTAACCAAAGTAGGTCCAAAGGGAATGCTGGATCTTAATTTATCTTAGAACTCAAACAGTAACAATTTGTTACAACTTACAAATACATCATCAAAGTTTTTGTTTGTTAAGCATTATAGAACAGAAAACTGCTACAAACATCATATGATATCAAACTTGGAAAAAAAAATAAGGAAAATAACACTGCCTATTAGCATTTCAGTTCAAGTTTAACCATCCCTAAAATCAAATTCATCATTAATTTCATCATCTAATTAATGAATAGGACCTTCAAACCGATCAGGTGTCAAGCAATTTAGTTAAACATTTAGCAGAATTACATTTTCACCAATCTGAAAAAAAAAAA